AATATATTGTTTTATTATTAACTGGTTTGATTGGTGGTTAAACCGGTTGAACCGTGACCTTGTAATCTTACCGGTTTGATCATCGGGCTGGTTTTTAAAACATTGCCTGGGTTCAGTGGTATGATACAATGACTGGTTACGATGGTACTCTCATATATGTGTTTTGATGTATTATACTACTCACTGTATATGTGCATTGTTTTGATATATGGTATGGTACATGTCTCAATATGCATAGATTAGGTATCATTCATATTCATTGAGTTTTGCGACTCACATTATCATTCTATAGTAGATTTTCTATTCACACCTCGATTAGCGTGCCCAAGTAGGAGTGCGTGTTTGTGAATCTAGCGATGTACGGGCATTCTTTTTGCATCTCACTTACTTTATATTTTATAGTAGTTCTTTTATACTCTCAAATACGTCATAACTTGTGTACTAGAAACTGTGTGATTATTTATTTATATGGGTTGGATGTGATGAGTTTTACTTTTACATGGTTTGATAATTATAAGAATTATTAAGGTCGGTGGATTCTAATACCGGCCACGGGTCAAGGGTCGGGCTGTGACATATATAAATTAACTTTTTTAATAAATGAATCACCTTAATGAAATTTTGTTGACTATAATAAACAATTTAAATTTATATGATAAGAAATTTATTTTATTTTTATAAAAATATATTTAGATAATGTATTTTATATATAATATATAACAAAAAAATTAATTTTGATATTTTAAAATAATATTATTTAATGATGAATAGATGAAAATTATTAACTAAATTAAATCAAAGAAAAAAATATTTTTAAAATAAAAATGAGTAAAATGTTATTGAGATAAAATTGAAGGGAGATAAATGCATTTTACCATTTAGAAAAAAAAGAGAATCCAGCAACTGGTAGTCCGCCATTGACATCTTTAGTTGATAATACCATTCATGGCCAGAAAAAAATTGGTAATACCACCAAGACAAAAAAAAAAAACGAAAAATCTCTAATTGACGATACCACTCAAGGAAAAAAAAACAAAAGAAAAAAAAGGAGGAGAGAGACGTTATTTTAAAATTAGCATTCGCTTCAAGGCTGCTGCCTCGCACCTGGTACAATGGCGGTCTTCCGCTGCAGCAGGCAGTGAAAGTTATTTCTAGATCGTGGAATAAATTATTCCAGCAAAGACTTTCTGACTTTGACGGTTCAAATTTCTTCGGTGCTCCATTCTTTTCCTCCGTAATACGCCACCGTTTCTTCGACAATCTATCCAATGTTTTCTTTAATATTTTTATTTTTGATGATGCATAAGAGAATTCCAATTAAGTCTTCTTTTTACACGTCATTGACTGCGGCCATTGGTAGATAATAAAATCTTCATTTCTCTTTTAACCCCTCCCCCCCCTCCCCCGAAAAAAAAAAAAATTCTTCACTTCTCTTTTTTTCTCGACGGGGGCGGTAATTGAAGATTTTTATATTATGGGATGTTTGGCTAGATTTTTAAAAGTGCTTTTAAACCTTATATATACTTCTAAACAATTTTTTGTGCTTAGTTAAAATATAAATATAGAAATGCTTTTATGAAAAGTGCTGTTTTAGAACGAGCTTTGAAGAACTTAACTGGGATTTTTTAATTTACTTTTAAAATACATTTCTAGAGAGTTTTCATCAAAAATATTGGTTACTTAATCAATTTTTATTTTTAAAATAATTTACATAGAAAAGACAATATTAAAAAATTATTTAATGATATTTTTAATTAAAAATTCTCAAATTTTTTTTTTTTTTTTTTTTTTTTTTATAGCGTCCTCCCATGTGAAAGAACTTTAAATTGATCAGGAATTCCGTCCATACCTGCGGCGTCGTCACGTTGCCCTGGCAGGCAGAGAAGAAGAAAATGAAGGGACAGTTGGCAGACTTTGCAGGGGTCTTCTTTCTTTTCTTTACGTCACATTCTTAGCAGGTAAATAAATAAGATGAAAGTAGCAGGTCCATTGTATTGGGTTTCGTTCAATACGATGGACCTAGACGGTTTCCCATTTCCTTTGCCTTTTACTTTGACTTTGACGACTTAATTGGATTGATTGAATTCCAAGGTTTAAATTTTTGAATATTCAAGAAATCAATTTTGGAGTATCTTTGAAGCATAGTACCTATTGACCATTATTTTCTTTTTCTTTATTGTTTTTTTTTTATCTCAAAGTCATCAGGCAGGTGTTTTTAAATATTTTTAAAAAATTATAAATTAAAATTTTAAGGAGAAATGCGTGTAGGTAAATTATATTGTAAAGGTTGGTGTATTTATAAAATATTTTATAAAATTTTTAAACGTAATAATAGATGTTGGAGATGTAATTTTATTGAGTTGTGTTAGGTGAAGAAGAAATTTTTTTAAAAAATTCAAACAACTCTAAAAAGATTTCATAATTTAATTTTGAATTTAAAAATTTTTAAAAATGAAGATAGTTTCTATTTAATTATAATAATTTCACTCATAAAAATATCCATCTTCCATATTTTTAAGTATTTTAAAAATAAATGTGTGTATTAAGAATGATACATTTAACAAATTGCCGTAGATACGAAGTTGTAACTCCACAACGCTTGGCTTAGGAAGCGTGGTACAAACCCCATAACCCATCGCAGATAATGGATTTATAAATTTTTTTGGAAAGTCAAATTAGGTATAAAATTATAAATTAAAAAATAAAAATATGAATGTGAAATGGGTCAAACAACTTGTAAACTTGAGATTAATTTCTTTAAAAAAAAGAATTTATTAAAAAGAGAAATTGACAATAAAAATTAAAAATCACAACTTTATGGCCAAACTAACTAGAACTTGAAACCATATCTACCGAACGTAATACATGAAAAAATCAAGGGTTTTCTTACCAATATCATTTTTGGTTAAAATAAAGTTGTATATTATGCATATTAAGGGGCAGAAGAGCCTTGGGCATGTGAGGTTAATTAGTTTAATTGGAATCTTTCATACATAATTTTAAATATTATCAATGCACTCCCTCTCAGGCGTTGATTTGTCAACACAATATTTGGCCCTCACATGTGCAATGTCCACTTGTCATTGTTATTTATTACTGTTATTAATATTTTCTTTTTGGTACAAAATATAGAGAAAAAGATTAACCAAAAAATTAATTTTAATTAAATCAATTAATAATAACAGAGATAACTAGTTCGAAATAGTAATTATTGTGTTACAATTAACTCTTGATTAAGTAAGAAGATTGGCAAGAACGTTTATTTTGCATGAGGGATGAGTTATGGTAATAAACCAGAATTGTTAAAGCAACGCAATCAACGATATGTTAGTAGTGTGATAGGTTTGTTTTAAATTATTTTATATTTTAAATTACTGATGCCAGCGTGCATCATTTATTAACTTTTGAGAAAAATATTTATATTATTATTTTTTAGAAAAAAAACCCTCCCCATTTACGCGAGTCGTGACATAGCGTATGAACCCAGTCAATTAGATGAAATGCAGCGTATTGATTTGAATAGCGCGCCTGCAAGGAAAATTTGCAGTCAAGTCCACCCAATTGAGCAGAAAAATATTTGGATGCAAGAGTCGCCTTCTCTTTCACATTCGATTGGGCATTTTCCACCGGAATCGCATATAAATATCAACCCTTGTTCTGGCAATCCTGTTAAAGACATTCTCAATCCAATCCCATAAACCTGAAATTCAGTTCAAATACTCTCTCGCGGAACAGCGATGGCCGCCGGGTAAGCTGTCTCCCTCTTCCGCTCTTGATTTTCTCTCTCTGTGTGTATAGAAAAATCACAGTGCCCAGATGCACACATACCGTGTAATCCGCTAATGAGAGTGAGACAGTGCAGGAATTTATGCAAATACCTGCGGATGTCTGTAATCAAGTTCAGTCTTATCGACTTTGATCACTTCTCATTACGTTTCTCCCTTTTCTTCTTCCTTTTTTTTTTTTTTTTTTGGCTTGTTGTAAATTTGTGTTTTCTTCTAATTTTTGTGTAAAATTTTTATCAGGTGCGTGAAACAGATCCTTCCTCCGGCTTTGGATTCTACCTCCCCACCGCCACCCTTGTTTGATGGAACTACCAAGTATGATCTCTCTCCCTTCCACTTTTGGTTGAAGATTGAAATTTTTGTATGATTAAATATGAAGATTGTTAAAACAAACCGTCCGTGTAACCACCAAAAAAAAAAAGAAAAAAGAAAAAATCGTCAGTAAAATTTTATTTTATCACTCGTTCCTTGAAAAAATATATTGGTTTGAACATGGCATTACTGCTATTTGGTATAAAAGAACTTAGAGCTTTTTTGGACCCTTTCCATAAGCCATAGAGTCTACCTGCTTACCACTCTGTTTTTTATTTTTTTTTTTATTTTTTGGTTTAGTTTTCAAACTTGGATTTGCACGTTCCATCATCTTTAAATCTAAAAATTTGTTCTGTTATTGAAGGTTATACATCAGCTACATATGCCCGTACGCGCAGCGTGTGTGGGTGGCCAGGAACTACAAGGTTCGTTTCCCCCTTTCATCACTATGATTTAACTCCGTGTTCTGTGTTAGTTTTGCATCTCCAACCCCTAGATATATATATCAAATATTCTGTTATATCTATAGAACTGATTAGACTCAAAGAGAAAAATACGAATTGGATTTTGTTATGTGAAGAGATTACATAACTTAGGGTGTGTTTGGTTTGGGACAAAGAAGCTGGCTTCCACAAAATTGGAGTTCAGTATGGCCAGTTGAGAACCAGTTTTTTAGCTAGTGAAATTTAAAAAAGCCTACTTCCATGTTAAGCCTTATTTTGAGTGAGGCTTCATAAATGACGCCAGCCTCCTCTATTTTTTTATTTATTTATTTTTTATTATTATTATTTTTTATATACCAAAAATAAAACAAGAATCAAACTCTAAAAAGAGCTGTTTTTTTGTGCCATTGAAAAAGAAAATGCTCAATAGCAAATGGCCTAATGGCAAATGCTCAATTATATGCAAGTAATTTTTCTGCTTGGCTGAATATTCTTTGAATCTTGGGATGCAGGGGTTGCAAGGGAAGATCAAGTTGGTTGCCATTGACCTTCACAATAAGCCCACCTGGTATAAAGAGAAAGTTTACCCAGAAAACAGGGTAACGTGACTTAAGTGCATTCTGTTCTTTTTCTAAAAATCTGTATTATTATTATTATTATTGTTATTGTTGTTGTTGTTGTTGTTGTTGTTGTTGTTGTAAAAAACTGATCAACTTGACTTAAGTGCATTCTGTTCTTTTTCTAAAAATCTGTATTATTATTATTATTATTGTTATTGTTATTGTTGTTGTTGTAAAAAACTGATCGTGATACAAGGATGAGCAGTATTAAATTATGGAGTTAAATGTCAATGCTCACGGAAAGCCACTCCAGGGGGAAAAAGGTTAAAAGGAAGAGATAAAAGATCAACCTTTATCTAATGAATTTTTCTTGGATTTGTTATTAACAGGTGCCTTGTCTGGAGCATAACAACGAAGTCCTTGGAGAGAGCCTAGATTTGCTTAGGTATTTAGAAAGCAACTTTGAAGGGCCTGCGCTTTTACCTAATGTAAGATGCAAAAATATTTATGCTTTTGGCCTCTCTCTCTCTCTCTCTCTCTCTCTCTCTCTCTCTCTCCGGGGTTCAGAACTTTATCAGCTAATTCTCAAATACTAACCAGGATCCTGCTAAGCAAGAATTTGCCGAGGAGATGATCTCATACACTGACACAATGAGCAAAACCGTATTTGCATCATTCAAAGGAGACCCAGTAAAGGAAGTTGGTAAAATTCTAGACTGGCAAATTTGGGTTATTAAGCATGACAATGCAATAGTTAAGATTTAAATCTTGACAAGAAGTCGGAATTTCTTCATCAGGTGGTACTTTCGATCACTTGGAAGCTGCTCTTGGTAAATTTGATGATGGACCTTTCTTCCTTGGCCAATTCAGTATGGTAACTTTCATTCCCATGCTTTCTTAATCTTCTCAATGTTCCACCTGGTGGAATTTACCTGAATATATCTGAAATATCAAAACTTCAGAGTTATTTGTCAAGTTCTAAATTTCTATGTTTTTAGAAAAAGAAAAAAACATGTGCTTCAAGCAAAAATTTTGTGACCTACAGGTGGATATTGCTTATGTTACACTTATTGAGAGGTTTCAACTCTTCTTACAAGATGTATGGAAGTATGACCTCACAGCAGGCAGGCCTAAACTAGCAGCTTGGCTTGAGGTATGTGGATAAAGTACAGTCATTCTTATGCAAGAAAATAAGTTCTGGTTTGAAACTTTTTACTTCTTCCTTTGCCATTTGAGTAGCTATTGCAAACTATAGCAATCTATAGCAACAGTAGTGGCCATAATAGTTGTAACCAAAATGAATTTTTGAGTCTCACCATTTTCCCCATAATATCTTTGCTTCACAAAAACATATCTTGACACTCGTAGTTTCTCTCAATTTTCCTCTAGTATAGAGCTATTTGGAAATGTAGAAGAGTCATATAACAGTTTTTTAAGTTAGTGAATTTTAGAATAGCAGCTTAATTTTGTTCACCTTTGTGCAGGAGATGAACAAGATAAGCGCCTATACACAGACCAAACATGAGCCACAAAAGCTTATTGAGCACTACAAGCACCGCTTTCTGGTAGGCTCCTGTACCATGGTTTTCTCATCTTTGTGAAAGAAAGTGCTTACTCATTCCTGAACAACATGCACCTTTCCTTGCAGGCTCATAAGTGAAGATGGTGAAGATCATATAAATTTACATAATAAATAATTGGGTTTATCCCCATTCTGTTACGTTCCTTAGATAGATAGCTGGCATGTGTACTTGGGAAGTAGAGACAGACGTCTGATGCTAACGTACCAGAACGGATAGTTGTTGTAATAAGAACAGTAGTCGTGAGTAATCTTATTATATATTTGGCATAATTCCATGGTTTCTTTTCCTGTAAACTTTAAAATTCGATTCTGCTCCATCTTTCTCTGGAGTCTATCAACAAATCAGAATTTAACCTTACTCTCGTAACATCATCGAGTTGTCTGTCTGCTGCTGTTGCTGCCCATATGAAGAACTTAGAGGCTCTCAACATTGCTTGGGTTTCAACAGGACCGTCTAAATGACTGTTTAATGGGACAACTGCATCATGGGGCATTTTAGCCCTCTTCCATTGGAAATGACTCAAAAGCCGCTTTATATATAGTGGCAATCAATTGGAAAACCCTAAAATATGATGGGTTTAAGCCTGCCACGGACACTGTTTTGAAAATTTAATCGTTCATCAATTGAGAAAGTTATCTGTTCGTGATTTACTGATCTAATCGTTGGTTTAACTGTAATTAAACTACAATTGAATCACACACACCTATATATAATTTAAAAGAGTCAAAATTATTAATTGTCTACAAGAATATCACACAAATTTTGCAAGTAGGGATTATATTAGACGTCTACTATAGAATAGCCCCTCAATTTTTTAATCTTGCACTCTTTGGAGGACTTGCATAAATAAATTAGAAATTTACTGGTGAAATTAAAACAAATCTAGAGTTGGTAGAGCTAATTAAGGATTTGAAATAAAAGTAGAGCAATGTTGAAGGATTGTTTTAAAATGATGGGTGAATTTCCAAGGATCAAAATGAAAAGGTATGAAAACTCATACTAAAATTGAAATTGTTTTTCTTCATCCTCACTTGCCGATTGACGCAAAGCTAGACACACTTCTTATGTGGTTTAAGCTTGACAATTCAAGAAGAGAATCACTTGAACACTTTGTCCATGACCATGAAAGGCGATTGTTGATCGGAAAACTTACGGCATTTTGTGTTATCCTTTCTGCCATTATCATGAAATAGGGGCCCTTTTTTTGCGTTTTCCCCTCTTTGTCATCAATTGAAATAGGGAGAGGCCACAACCAACCACGAAAGCCTTTGTCTTCTTCTCATTGCATCCCACATTTTTGCGAGATTTGTCTCCTATACTGATACTCTAGTACAAAGTTTCAGCTAAAGTGGAATTGCTATGTTCTCTAAACTTTTCGAGTTTCATTGAACCATGAATAATTCACTAGTCTAAAACAGATGGACCACTAGTTTGGACGATTTTCATGAAATAACATGATTTTTTTAGTTTCATTAGTTTTTAAAACATTAGCTCTGGGCGGACTCAAATTTAAAGACTTGACCCAATTAGGCATAGATTTATCCTATAGGGACTTATCCAATTATCTTGTACATCCAAAAGTGGGAACATGCGAGATCCAATTATTAGTGAAATAACACACCTGTAAGCTTAGAAATAGAGGAGAGATGAAAATAGGTGTAATGGATGGGATTTAGATGAAGTTTGGATTTTTTTTTCCTTTTCTAATTGGATCGATGTTGAGTATGGGTCTAAGTATTCTAAATTTGAACTGACCTGATCTGTTTACGGGCATAGGACTCATTGAGTTGGAGCTAGATTTCGCAACTTCAAGTAATAAGAGACTGTTCTTTTTATAGTAGTAGAGGCACATGCGTTTTGTAATACCCCCAATTTGGGGTAATTTAGTAATTCTAATAATATAGGGACTTAATTGATAAATATAGAAAATTTGGGAGTTTTGTTAAAAGATTTAAGGACTCAATTGATGAAAATAGGAGCTTAGTGGGGCTTGAGTATAATTAACCTGAAAATGTCAGGGACCAAATCAAAAGAAATAAGAAAATCAAGGGACTAAATTCAATGACATCAAAACTTGGATTGGATCATCGTCCTTTTTCCATTCTAGCAACCCTCCACGTGTGATTTGATCCAATTGAGAATATTTCGTGGATTAATCCCCAAATTGATTGTATATAAACACAATAACAAGTTTCTTGGAAAGAAATCCTCCATCAATTTTACTTGTCATCTCCCTCTTGGCCAGCGATTTTTGATTCTAGACTGATAGAAGCTTTGTGTTTCGGCGATTGGGTCGACTGGATTGTCTTGAGCATTGAGCATTGATCCCATGGCCATTGTTGAGATAGAAGTGAAAGAACGAAGGGTGCAACCACAATCGAGGACAACTACCGAGATCGAGCTTGATCAAGCTAGGTATAGTGGGGTTCTTCTTGGTTGGGGAATCAAGTCTCAGGGACAAGACTTGAACTAACTTTGTTTGGGTCGTGAGGGTTCGGTTCCCTCACCGTCCCCAGGGGAGAAATGGGTTGGGCCAAATGACTTGGCCCAGAAATGGCTAGACAGGCTTTGGTTAGAGTGGACTTGGGCCAAGGGCTTATCTGGGCCTACAAATGGGCTAGGCACAGAACTAGGCTGGACTAGGTTAGGTAATTGAGTTGTGAGATGTAACAAGATCTGTATTTAGGATCTGAATTTAATAAACCAATCGACTACGGATGAACATCGGTTCAGAGCCTAAGTTGGTCGGTTTAGGGTTTTTTACCAATTGGTTTGCTGTTAATTGGATCGGTTCAGTATACATATACAAGTGGGTTTAGTGGTTCAATGTAATAAGTGTCTGGTTCAATATGTAAATGGCAAGTTTAGTGTGTTATATGGCTAGTTCAGTTTATAAATGGTTGGTTTTGTGTGTTATATGGTTCATTCAGTAGATAAATGATCGATTTAGCATGTTATATGGTTGGTTTAGTGCGGTACATGCCTAGTTCAATGTGTCAAATATCTGATTCAGTGTATCAAAGGTTGATTCAGGACCAGTTCACTATATTAGAGATCGGTTCAAGGCTGGTTTAGTGTATTAGAGACCAAATCATGGTCAGTTCAACACTCTAGAGACTAGTTCAAGGCTGGTTTAGCACTCTAATGGTTAGTTTATAGGTTAAATAAACCGATTTTATACTTTAAGAGTATGTTCAAGACTTTAGGACTTGGTTCATGAGTTATTTGATTGGTTTAGAGCTTTATAGCCTAATATGGGTTTCAAACACAAAATCTAGGGATTTACTTAGGTTTTAATCAAGAAAATTATGTTTATGTGATTCTTAGATGTATTAACAATTTAAAACAAGACGTTTTACTATTTTGGATTCTCCATTTGATTTCTGTCAAGCCTATCTATCATAGGAAATTTGATCACTCGATTTTTATCAATTTTGTGAGTAATAATGTGCATTTATGAGTATTTACTATTTTTCATATTTGTTATAAATTCTAATTTTACATGATATACATGGTTTTTAAAAATTGAATTAAAATTTATTATAAAAGCATAACAAGGGATATGTATGTAATTTTTGCAATTGTTTTGGAAAAACTATTTGTTATTTATGTTCGATTTTGTTTATATCTATAAATGAAAAATTCTGTTAAATTGTTTTTGTTTATTTTTGAAAACTGTTTAAGGGAGTTTTGGATTTTAGAACATTGTAACTAATGACAATTTGTATTAGACTGAGTGCACTCTATACAATATCTCCATCTAGTAGGGGTGGTGCTAGACTCTCCTATTGGGCCGACATGAAAGACTTGTATATATATATATATATATATATGTATATAGGTAGATGAAGCTGCCACCTTTTGATTTCTATTATTGGCTGACTATAAGATCACCTTCTGATATATGTTCTGTTCTAGATTACGAACTCTCTAAAATCTTTGATAACTATAAAGGATTCATTACATTGTAAAGTTTTTTGTTTTATATGTTATACATGTCCCTTATTCTTATAAATACATGTTATCATTTACTGGGTCTGTCGACTCACTCTTTATTATTTTTTAGATTTAGAGTTTGATACTGTGTCGGATCCCACTACTTAAGAGGAGTCTTTTGTTTATGCTACTTTTGTTTTTAATTAAAAAAGTTAGTTATTTCACTTTTTGTTAGATTTGTATTTCTAGGATTCTTAGATAGCTCCATTTGACTATAGATAGGTTTCTTATGGATGTGTTGACAATTTGGTTAAGTTTTAAATTTTATTTTATTTCCGATTTTATATAAGATTTTAGTTCAGTTTAATTTGAATTATCTGTTAGGCTTGTGGGGTTGAAATTTATTTTAACCTTAACACCGGTCACAAATCCACTTTTCGGGTTGTAACAAAGTTGGTATTAGACCTCTAGGTTATCTATGGTTGATGGAGCAACCATTTTAACTATAGGGTCTCGATTATGATTATGAGTCGGCCATTTTCATAATTAAGATGCTATAAGGAAGTAGTTAGGAATCTTTCTGATATCGATTGTTATTCTAATCTTGCATTGTCCTTGCTCTTGTCATTTCCTATCTTGTTTGAAATTTCTTATTAGATGGATGCTTCATACAAGAATCCTATCCATGATACCAAGAATGAGGGACTTGTGATTCTAGAGACGCCACGGAATAGATCACTTTTCGCTCAGATTTCGCATGAGATATCACTTTTTACACCACCATGAGGAAAGGGCCAAGGTGGAACTAGAGGAAGGGGGAGGGATCAAGGAAGAATGATTAGTTAAGGTAAATTGATAGAGCCTAAGAGGCTACTCGACCTACCGGTACTTTGGATGGATTGGCCAAGGTCTTACTCGATATTTAGGGAACTTAGCAGACTATGACCACTTTGATGGAAAAGATACTAGATCAGGAACAGATGAGTTTTCTGATGAATACTAGTCTTGAAGGACAAGAGGTTGGTATAGATGGACAAATGAGTTTTGTTTAGAGAAATCAAGAGATTCCATTAGGTATCGGACAAGAATTAACTTAAAAAAGACAAGAGATCTAGAATGACACAAATGTCGTACAGGCAGTTTCGGGATGATATCAGCAGGAGGCTAGTCTTGAGAGCAAGGTTTAGGACTTTCTTAGGTTTAAGCCACCTACCTTATCCGGAAGGGATACTACCGAGGATCCATAGCACTTCATAGATCAGATGAAAATTTTATTCGAGGTAATGAAGTGTTCTACCCCGAGATCCGTTGAATTAGCTACATTTAGATTGCATGATTTGGCTTGGTCTTGGTATAAGACCACATTGTTGGTGAGACCTAAGGAGGCATCACCAAGGACTTGGAAAGAATTTGTGAGTGCATTCATAGACAGACTCTTATTGGCAAATAAGAGGGATCAACTAGCTGCGGAGTTCAAATGTCTTCGACAAACCTTTGATATAATAGTTCCAGAGTATGATGCTCGCTTCAATCATCATTCTCGATATACTCCACATTTGGTAACTGATGAAAATACAAAAGCTAACAGGTTTATCAGAAGGTTGGTAGCGCCTCTGCTCTGAGTCCTAGTCCCACATATGGGGAAATATATTTATACCAAGGCAGTGCATACTGCTCAAGTGATCAAAGCCAAAGATTTTGAGTAGAGGGTAGTTAAAGAAACAAAGAAGAAGGCTAGAATCTTAGGATCTTTCGTTAATGGTCATGGTTCGTGTAAGGGATCAAGGTTTCAAGGTTCTTAGTTTAATGTGCAGACTAAACAAGCACCTTCTAGACGATTGTTTGCAGCTCTCTCAGCTCTGGTTAAAGAGATGGAGAGTGTGATGTAGTTGAAGTAATATAGTTCAGCGCCCGACATTAGGACGCCCAGACTTGTACTTGTGAAATGAGTCATTGGGAAAAGTGTTGTATAGAGACCGGTGCGTGTTACTGATGTGGTAAATTTGTACATAAACTTAGGAATTGTCCATTGATATAGAGAGATGATGGTTAGAAAATAGGATAGCTAGATTGAATAGCTCCACAATTTTAGATCAACCTGCTCAAACTCAAGGAGGAGGCTTTAACGGTAGAGGACATGATTAGACTGGTAGAGGTTAGGCGCGAGTATAAACTTTGACTAGATAGGATGCTTAGGAGTCCAATGTAAGGGTGACAAGTATGCCAAACCGTGTGCCCTTTATGCGTAAATTATTGTGTAAATCCAGATCCACTAACTTTATGTACTGTTACACCTTGATACGTGGATTGACTTTCTACTATATTGAGGAAACTTCCTCTAGTGGCCACCCTTGCAGGGGAGCCTACCTAGGTTAGGCATGAAGATAAGTCTGGCTTAATTGAATTGAATAATAGAAGATATAAAGACATGATGAGGGCTTGTGTTATGGACTTCGGGTCATGACACCTTTAAAGTTGAAGCATGCCTTTGAGATAAAGTATTTTCGAGATAAGTGAAAGTGTTGTTCTTTTAATATGCATTTGGAAGTCATGTTTTTGAAGCTATGTTTTTTTATACATTACTTTTGAGACAAAGGTTTACATGAAGAAATGTAAATATTGGAGGCAAATATAAAAAGTGAAAACAATTAAGAAGTCAATATAAAGACTTATATGATGAAATTAAAATACGAAAAACTAAAATAAAAATTGTTTAAAAAATTAAGGGCTAAATTGAAAATTAGTCATAGTAGGGCCTCTGTTGACCAATAGGCCATTGGTCAACAGTCTACTGCCATCTAGTTACAATTGTTGGGGTTGTTGGTCATTGGTAACCCTATTGGCAACTACTAATGGCAAGCAGGCAAGTTGTCGGCTAGAAAAACCAATGAGGTCAACCCTTAAATGGGTAAACCAACAATTGATATTTCCACTATTGGTTGGCTGTATCAATCGATCAAGCCTCAACGATCAATGTCAATGTCAACAATCGAAGCTAACTGACTATCTCCGATGGCTATCAGTTGCTAGTTGCCTAACTTTGAAACCCCTCTTTCTCTCTTTGACTAGTCTTGGTAGCTAGCTGGACTTCGATCGTTAGCGTTGCTAGTCGATGCCAACCGAGCGTCTTCGACAACCATTAGCTGCCAATTGCTCTCCACCTCCATGAATCAACAACCCTACTTTTTTTTTTTTTTTTTTTTTTTTTTTTTTTTTTTTTTTTTTTTTTTTTAAGTGGAGCATGATCCGCCAGAGACCAAGCATGGCCTAATCTCATAAGCAAATAATCTATTGCAGCTCCATAGGTAAGGGTTAAAATAAGAAGGTTTTTTTTTTTTTTTTTTTTTTTTAGATTTTGCTCCTAAAACAAAGGCGGGGTGCCTCTGAAGAGTAAAAAGAACACTACCTAAGAGTCCCTTTGATAATTCTTAGCTTTTACCGTTCCTGGCTTTCTTTCAAAGGAGGGTAACAAAAACAACTTTTTTTTAAATAGAAAATCATGTGTTAAAAAACCCCACGACCCACTTGTTTAGTTATCTAGCCAGTGCAAGCAGGCGTCAAAGCCAGCTTTCAAGTCATGTACTTACTTTCTTATGATTTTGTTGATTCTAACAAATGTTCACGGGCATGTCTTCTTGAAGACTTCATAAGATTATCAGTACTCACCATTGAGCTCAACTAGTCCAAAACCTTGTTTGACTTGTAGGGCTTAAAAGAAAGATGAACCAGACTGGTCATACATGCTCTAAACTGATAAATAGCTGCTTTATTTTCTATTCTGTTTTATAAGAAGTATAATAAGAAGCATCAGGGCACTTACCGTAGGGAATGTCAGCTTCTGAAACAGATACCATGGCAAGGGAGAAACTATATAATATGAACATCCCTGCAACTATTTCAAGAATAAATGGAGGATAAAGTCGGCAAACCAATACAGCAAGGCTCACAAACACTTAACATACACTAAAGAAGCCTAAGAGAAATTATGCCCATGGCAGCTCACAAAGATAGTTGACCTCTTAATCCTCATACAGATTTCAAATCCGGAATGCAATATCACAACTGTTTGAATCATTCAGTTTTACAGAACTTACATAATTGAACACAAAACATAGCTGTACATATCAAGAGAGAGAAGAAAAATCTGAGAAGATTGAGAATAATAGAGATGAAGTAAAACCAAATATGTTTTCAAGGACAGTCTGCAAATATGGCCATTTGGGAAGGCAAACAGCTTTTTCTACATCAAACACAAAGGAGTTTCTCAAACTCATAAAGGGGAGAGATAAACCTATTTAATCCTTCCATTCATCTCCTAGTAGTGTAGACTCTAGCTACCTAAGCACCACAACTGGTTAAAACTAAGTAGTTCTCTGAGTCTGAGGTTCCAAATGAATCCCCAGAACTAGACACATATATACCTATAAATATATATCAATATAACTTCTTAGTTTGATATTTTTCGTATCTGCCACCAGCATTGGGTTTTCTATCACCTTCTCTCCTTGTCCTAGGAGGAGTCAAAGGGGCCCAATGGGAGGAGCTTTGAATAGGCTGGGTTTCAGGATCATACTTCTGTAAGGCCAGGTAATTCAGAGCTGTTACCACGTCAGCTATGACTGGGCGCATTGTTGGCTGCTCCTGAACACACATTGATGCAATTGCAAGAGCTTGGTACAAGCCCCTTGCAGGGTATTGGCCTTGAAGCATGGGGTCAGCCATCTGGGGTAATTTACTTCGATCTCTAAATAAAGGTCTTGCCTGCACTTAGCAAAACATGATCCACATTAGTGAGAATCAGTGGAAGACATCCACACTCGTTATCCATATGAAACATTAAAAGGGAGGGGAAAAGAAAAAAGAAAGAAACAAATGTTCATGAAGAAAAGCCACAATCACAATGGAAGCATATCCACAAGTTCTACCACCATTATTGCCAAATGCTGTCCTAAAACTAATGCTTTTTGAACAGTAATATCTGTGAGATAATGCATATGCAAATCCCACTATATATTTTATAAGCAAAAAAAAAAAAAAAATGAAAAATCTCGGAATTGATAATGAAAATAAAAATTAATATAAGAGAGGTGTGGGTGTCTCACCCATGCCACCAGATTGTGCTCTCCGGCAGTTTTTGAATTTTCAACTGCTTTCTTGCCTGTTATGATCTCCAGAAGAACAACACCAAAGCTGTAAACATCTGATTTCAGAGTGAGCTGACCGGTCATAGCATATTCTGGGGCACAATATCCATAAGTACCCATAACCCTTGTCGATACATGAGTATTATCCCCAACAGGCCCCAGTTTGGCCAAGCCAAAATCAGATAGTTTGGGATGATAATCCTCATCAAGTAAAATGTTGGAGCATTTTAAATCACGGTATATTACAGGGGGCTTGGCTTTGTCATGTAAGTACTCCAGTCCTTTTGCAGCCCCAGCAGCAATTTTCATTCTAGTATTCCAGTCAAGTCGGTCCTTGCCAGGTGGAAGGTCTGCCCAACAAGAAAGTAGTTGTTGCACCACAATGCAAAAAAAAAAAAAAAAAAAAAAAAGAAGAAGAAGAAGAAGAAGAAGAAGAAGTTTGAAAAGGGACAGAAAGACTTTATATAATCTCTATACTATGTTACATTTATATGTAGATATGGAGTGGCAATGTTCATCCATTTTTGACGCATCTAATCAATGAATTTCATGAATTGGGGATATGCTTGTAGAACTTCAATGTTCTAAGGTCTAATACATTGCTATTCCAGGACAAATTATTGATAACAGAAATTATATTGGATTAAAGAAAAATGGATATTTTATCTGAAATTCCCCGTGACATGCCAAAAAGGTTCCATTTGGCAATAAACTAGAACTTATTTTTCTTCAAACAACTAGAAATTAGAGGATCCAAGAGTCCAATCTGACTACTGTCATCAGATAGATTACTGCACTGTTACCTTTGTGATATCCAGTAAATATAGATTATGTGAATTGCAATACAAGAGTAGAAAGAAATATAAAAAATGTATACTTACCATGAAGATGGTCCTCTAAAGACCCAAGCGGCATATATTCATAAACCAAAAGTCTCTGATCACCATCAGCACAATAACCTATCAGATTAACAAGATTGGGATGGTGAAGCAAACTTAACATCAGCACTTCAACAAGGAACTCCCTGTTCCCCTGCAATCCATTACGATCAAGTTGCTTGATTGCGACAATCTACAGCAAAACCATGAAAAAACAATAAATTTCAATTTTATTAATAGTGCACTCCAGGTAGAAAGGAGAATGAAATGATATGAGAAGCAAATGAATTAAAATTGGGTAAGTTTTTTCCCCCTTATTTTTTAATGTCTAGAAAAATGGGAAGAAAATGTATAGATACAAACTAAAAACATATTCTATTTAGTTACCAATACAAAGGTAGACATATTTGTAGTTACAGTTCTTTGTTCTCTTATATTCCCTGCACAAATCCTAGATACAGTATAAAAATAGCATGCTTGGGGTTGAACAGCCATGGCAATCGTACAACTATATTATCATTTTAAGATATTTAGGTTTTCAACTAAGAAACTTGTCCATTAAGCTTGGAGTCAAAGAATGCCAACTTTGAAAATGAAAAGAGCATAGGTGGACAATTTTCCAACTGTTTGTCCTGTCTCTCTTTCTTTGATAAATAGCATTAAAAAGATAAACTCATCAAACCTGATTAGTGCTTTCCAGTCTCCCTTTATAAACTCTGCCAAAACCTCCCTCTCCAAGTAGACAATCGCCCCTAAAATTTTTGGTTGCAGCAGCCAATTCCCGAAATGCAAAAGTATGGGCTGCAATCTGATTGGATCTGCCATCACTTGAAGCCTCCTTTACCTTCAGAGAAGGATTTTTCTTCAAATTGTCTGGAGATATGAAAACCATCAACATGGTGGAGAAATAATTTGAGTGAAGAACATACTTCAGGTTTTTAACCTGATAATCAACTAAATTAAAAACAATCACTATCTGACCTATGTGAAGTCCATTACATGTATTCCAATATCCATTTTACAATGCTGACAATGCCGCAGGCATGTGCATAAGCCAAGTATACTAAGTTTAACACAATGAGGGCATATAGTTGAAATGTGACTCAGCTTTTAGATGAATGTATAGCGAGGCATTTTCTTTTTGTATCATTGCGAGAACACAAATATTTTAAGAAAAGACATCAAAAAACAAGGGTAAACTGCACTAACCAGCAACTTTCACCAAGGAACTAAACTCAAATGTGGCCAATCTTATCCCTAATATTACCTATTCGAGCAAAATTACCATCATACCCCATTATGATTACAAATGCCCCTCCAAATTGGTTGTGAAGAAGATTTAGTAGAAACATCTTACCCCTGAACACAATTTGAAATTCTTGCAGAAGTGGAAAAGAAGATACAGGGTTTAATCTTCATAAAGTCACAAAAGAACCAAGAATCCAGGATCATGAATAGTGAGCAAGCAAACAAGGAACATAAAAGACTAAGCAGCCGTTGCTAAGAGTTTTTATCTTTGTGTTGTAGACATTCATGAACAGGAAAAGAATTGTTCAATACAGCAGTTCCTTTCAAATCCAAGAATCACACTGAAATGAACAGGCTGACAATCAACCAAACTCTGTGCTTAATGAAAACAATTAGAAGCCATTAACTAAAACCCACAACAGAAGTTTCACCTTTGTAAGGCATTACTTGGAATTATCATCAAATTCAATAAACCAAGCTTCATCAAAAAGTCAGCCCTTATATTTTACTGCCCATAAACAAAATCACCTTAAAGTTGATGAGCTCTTGAGAGAACTAGTAGAGCTGTATGAAATCATTCCACAGAAGGATTTATCAATATCTGATGCATTAAAATTGGGAGAAATAAGAAAATCACATTACGAGCGACCTGATATCAACAATATGGGGCTGTTTTGTTCTTTACAGCTGTATCACTGACTGGCAGCAGCCCTTACAACAGTGAAGTTTAGGCCTGCCAGTAGTTTGACCCAAAATAGTTTCTAAATACCACTATGCAACCAAGACATTGAAAAACCACCACTAATATCTAGTAGCGCGTGCTTGAGATTAAGAATGTGAAAAACAATGCCCTCTGCTGCGGGATCTGGAAATATCAAACAGTTTCCATGATACGAACCTAGAAAATTGACATCCATCTCAAATACATGAGACCAATTATAGCAATCTTACCATTGTACCAAGCCGAACAAGCTAAGAATGCAAAAGCGTAATACAAAGAGTTCCCACCCACCCAACCCCCTTCCAAGCAAAAGAAAACAAAAAACCCATTTGAAGCCACTCCAATTATTAAATTGATTCTAACAATAAATCACCAAAAGGGAAATATATTTCCCAATAAATATTCACAGATATACGTCAGGCGTGATTAACAGAATAATACAACTTATTAGAGTCGCTATATCAGCTGCTATCCTTGAAGAACGATTGACTTTATAGGATAGAGCAAATATGGCACTCCTAAGTTCATGGAGCCCATGATAACAAACAAAAAACTAATATAAAAATATAATGAGTATCAAGTATTACTCATTTTTATTCAACATAAGCATATGCACACGGTTTAGGGAAACATAGAACTAAAATGGTTTGTAATTAATTAGACAGGTTAAAGAAGGATAATTCGGCTTCAGAACCCCTAAATTCTCGCAGTCAGAATCCACAAAAATCCCTGAAACATAATGTATACTCCAAAATCACCTGAATTAACCAATTAGGCAAGATATACCTGGATGTTAGGTGATTTAGCACTATATACGACGGGAATGGGGGCGAAGTAGATGCTTAAGCTTTACCTTCTTGTGCATATATCTATGTTTGCGGTTGTATATAGAAAGAGAAATGTATATTTATGGAGGATTTCAAAACTACCAATACCTGAAGTGGGTTGGTTCTGATCAAGGACCTGTTTCTTCTTTCTGTTCTTCTTTGCCGCCTGGTCTGATTGTCCAGAGCAAGGAAACCAACCCATACACCTGCTCGTAGCTTTGATCCCAGAGAGAGACAGAGAGAGAGAGGGACGGAGAGCAAAAATTTTTTCAGAAAAGCAAAAGGCCGACCCAGCACGAGAAGAGAGAGATTATTGGCTAACAGGACACTCGAGAGGTAAGAAGAGGCAGTTGTAACACTACAGAGGTACAAGGCATTGACCTTGCTTCATCTCCGCAAAGACCTGTACATATCATTTATTTTTTTCGTTTTTATCATACCAATTCATCGTTTATTCCTAATAAATTTTCTTCTTATGCTATTTTATTGATCGTTTATTCCTAATAAATTTTCTTCTTATACTATTTTATTGGAGAAATGTTCTCTCAAGTTTCTTTATTCGCTTTTTCTCAAGTGATTTTCGGATGCGTTTTTCGTAATCTTGAGTAAAACAAGAACTAAGTCTTATTTATTTACTTTTTAATCACAGAAAAAGATTAAAGAAAACTCGATCTAATGGAATGACATAATAATCCTCCAAAAGAATCTATTCCACATATTGAATGCATGAATACGTTTATATGCGATATGACCTTTATATGCATTTATATTTATAAATAGTTTCTTGATATCAATAAAAATTAAAAAATATCACATATATCTATGAGAAATGTTTTGCCACGTTGATCACACGTGCTTGGAAAAACATTTATTTCATTTTGCAAGTGCATGACAATCTATATTGCGTCCCAAGGCTAGAATTAGGAAGAGTTATTAATTAAAATAATATTAAGGGATTGGGTTGGAAAGTAATTGTTTATTACAAATAAAGTCATTAAGCTTCAGTAAACTTGCCTTGTTTATTACAGAGTCTCATATTAGTAAAATCAAAAGAAATGAATGGAGACAACTGGGGAGGGACCTTCTCAACCTGAAATTGATTACAAGACAATTCAAAAGTTAGCCTAAGCAGGGAATGAGTAACTTTATTGCCTTGTTTCAAATAAAAATACATCAAATTCTTATATAATTTGAATCATTATTAATAGAACTGATGTATACAAGTATTGAACTTAATATTAATATGCATCTTTCAATATTAATTAACTTTTTTTATTTTACCAATTATGTATGAAAAATAATTACTTTTACTAAAAAAGAATTTATATATTCTGCTTTAAACAATCTATATATTTACAAACAATCTGATTAATATAAAACGATGAAACATTATTAACTCCTACTTCTAAAATGTTAAGTCTATTTTTATTTAATATTATAATAAGAATACTAGAATGGTATTGTCTGCAATTTAAAATGGTCCAAAACCCAACTCTATTACAAATTTTTTTGCTTGAAAAGTGGCTATAGCTTTGGTTTGAAGAGGAGAAATAATTAGGTCAAATTGAGGCAAATTGAACGATTTAAAGTTTTGAACAACCAATCCAATCCAAACATAGGATGACTTAAACCCTACCTAACCTACCTCTTATTTCCTTTTCTGAGACAGATTACTGCTTCCCCTCCCCCACCCCAAATCAAAAGTTCAAATTAACTTCAAGTAACGACCCTGGTTCCAGGCCCAGTGGCCCCACTTTGATTTCTTTATCGCATTTAAGTTGACTCCCTCTCCCTTTCCATTGCTTCAGGCGACTTTTTCATGGCTTTTGATATTTCGCATGATTTGAAATTTTATTTTAAGGCAATGAAAAGCAGTTTAAGTATGTGAATCTCATTTCTTTTGATGGTAACAATAATGAAAGGGAATGAAAATAAAATGGGAAAATTACCAAACCAGACGGCTTGGTAATTGCAATGAGATTCGGGGCTATAATGCAAAATAATTTGATTCAAAATTATTAGTAAAAATTTACTTATTTAAAGGCATTTGACTTTGGAAAATGCTCCTATAATTATTAATTTTTCCTTTTGATCTTTTCCCTCATGGCTGACCATTCATGTGAGTTCTTCAGATACAACAAAGCTTCTTCTTTCTTCACGCAAGCCATTACTCAAGCACCACTATTCTTCTTCAAAAGCCCTCTCTCCTTTCTTTCATGAACTTCCCTCCCAATTGGTTTTGCTCTTGGTCGTGTACTGATTGTCTCTCTTCACTTCTCTTGTGAATTTATCTTTTGACTATGTCTTCTTCACAAATAATACTGTCAAAATTTTCTTACAAAACTAAGTTTCTTAATTATTTTGGCTTAAATTTTTTGAAACTTCTAAAATGATCATAGAATCGATTGTCAAGGAACTCATTTGTTAGTTTTAGATAACACTATTTTTGTAAAGTATATGGAAATAGCTCATTTAATATTTATTCTATTGTTACTTAATGAAGTTACAAATATAATTTTGTGAAGTTACAATCATAATATGTGAACTTACAAATATATATAATATATGAAATTAGAAATTACAAACATGGTTTTGCAAAGTTATAAACATTTTTCTATAAGATTATAAACATATTTATTCTTACTTACAAACACTTTTTAATAAGATTACAAACATATTTCTACTTACAAACACTACTCTATTGAGTTATAAACCTAGTCTGTAATGCTGCAAACACTTCTTTGTGAGGTTACAAAAGTGACAATATAATGTTACAAACATGTTTATGTTAGGTTATAAACATAATTCTGTAATATTATAAACATTGTTTTGTAAAGTTACAAATGTAATTTTGTAATATTACAAACATATTTATGTGGGATTATAAACATGGTTTTATTGAGTTATAAATATGTTTGTAGCCTAACAAACATATGTTTGTTACTTAACAAAAACATGTTTATAACATTATACAATTACGTTTGTAATCTCATGTAGCCTTAGTTGCTTGTACGCTCATTTCAAGTTCAATTAGTGGGCAGAAGAGAGTTATTATGACCTAGGAGTTAGATCCATAATGTCAGGCCCCCAACCCAGGCCTAT